CTATGTCCAATAGTTTTCTTGCTGAGTCTTTAGGGTTTTCTAAGTATACTATCATGTCATCTGCATAGAGGGATAATTTTACTTCCTCTTTGCCAATTTGTACACCTCAAATGTCTTTATCTTGTCTTATTGCTATCGCTAAGACTTTCAATACAATATTGAATAAGAGAGGAGATAATGGGCATCCTTGCCTAGTTCCTATCCTTAAAGGGAATGCCTTTAACCTCTCTCCATTGAGAATAATGTTAGCTCTCAGGTTTTCATAAATACTTTTCACTATATTGAAGAAATTCCCCTCTAGTCCTATTTTGTTGAGTGTAAGCTCTGGTGTTTTAATAGAATGTTTTAGTAAGAGAAAGTTGTTGTCTTATCTGGTGCTTGTTGTAGAACTAAGCACTCCCCCACATCCAAGTTTCTATCCAAATCACTTTGAGAGCTCTTTTTAAGATAATTAGACTCAATTTGGAGGAATAGCTGCCTTAGGTCTGAGTTCAGAAATCACATATGAGTTTGAGAGATTATTGTGCCAGAAAGTAAGGAACTTTGTTCTGAAAACTAGTGGAAGAAAACATAAAGAGTTACTATTATATGAAAACTCATATCAGCACTATTCACAATCGTCCAGAGGTGGAAAGAACTCATCAACAGACAGGTGGATAAAATATGATCTGCCCATAGCCTCAAAATTCCAAGTCATTGCTGTCTAGTTGGTTCTACTCACAGAGATTTGACTGCTTCTGAGGTTGTAAATTGTAACAGGAGGAGGCTGCCCATCTCTCTCCTTCAGAACCACTGGTGAATTCACACCACCAGAGATGAAAGGCCTTTGAGTTAGCACTTCTCGCTAAGGACTATGTCACCAGAGTCTCCTGATATATTGTGGAGTTTGTATGGCTTTTCTAGTGTAGATGACTGATTCTGTGGAGGAGCATGACCATGCAAATAGGGCATGTTGACCTATCCATAACAGGACTGGCTGTCTACCGTTCCACAAGGGGATTGACCAGTCCCAGCTATCTGCAAGGGGATTGGCTAGTCTCACCAATAATGTGAACAGCTCTAGCTGCACAGATAGAATTCTTTGTCCAGCCAGAGAAGAGAGAGCTCCTCCAGCCTGGTGAAACGTGGGACACACTTTGGGAGGCAGCAGCAGCAATGGCTCACTTAGAGAATTGGATGTGAGGTGGGATTTTGGGGAAGGAGCACGGAGCCAATATTGGCAGGACTGAGAACTTGGGAACATACTGCCACAAGGCTTGAGGCTGAGGTGCCTGTGTGCATATTTTGAGAGTTGTCTTGACTGTATTTTGTTAGTAATCTGAATTATAACCTTTTAACTCTCCTAGTATGGTTCTGTGTAGCCTGTGAGCTGTCACATTGGACTCTGGACTCAGCCAAGCAGTAAGATTGGTGTCACGATGAGTAGAAGGAGTCATGAGAGCACAGGAAGCATGTCTGACCTCATGGGAATTAGTTTTGGGTTACTGCTGCTGTGGTTGGGGATGGTTTCCCCCTGTGGAGTTGGTAGAAGACAGGTGTGCTCCCCACATGGCCCTTGCTTTTATATATTTCCATGTCAAAACTCAACTCATTGCTGTCGAGTCAGAACCCATCCATAGCTAATTCTCCACTGGGTTTTCAGAAGCTGTAAATCACACAGGAGAGAGTGTGTGTGTATCTCTCTCTTGGCAGAGCAGCTGGTAGGTTTGAGCAGACAGAGAGGCACCAGCTTCTGGTTAGGAGTGCAACTGCCTGCAGATTATGCCACCAGATAAAGTGGACTATTACTCAGTCATTTAAAGGAACAGAATGCTGATTCAGGCTACACATTAGATAAACATCAACAAAACATTATGCTAACTGAGGGAAACTGAGCAAGAAAAGCTCAATATTGTAGGTTTAATTCATATTAAAGTAAAATGATAGGAAACTCTGTAGAGACAGGAGGCGGCACTGCTGGTAGAGCCCACAGGGGGTTTTGCTGCTGATGCAAAGGTGTTGCCTCTCTGGAGTTTGGAACCCACCAGATACTCTGATGGAGAAAAAGGGAGCAGTTTCTTTCTGTGCTATTTACAGCATCCAAAAACCTGCTGGAGGATCAGCTGTGATTCAGTTCCGACTCAGCTGGCAGTAAGTTAGATTCTGAGATACAGACAGAAAGTAGGTTACTTAGGGCAAGGGGTGGGTAAAAAGCAAAACGCTGCAGGGTGGTAGCTAAAGAGTACAGCGTTTTATTCTGAGATGATGAAATGTTCTAAAATCAGTTGTGTTGGTGGTGGCACATACATGTGAATATCATAAAAGCCATTGGAATAGTATATTTTACTTGAGTGAATTGTATGGTATGTGAAGTATACTTCAATAGAGTTTAAAAAGAGATTAAAGGAGTGTCCACATTAAGAGAGACTAAGGAGACACAGTTTTAACAGATATTTTTGAAGGAGCAAAGTATACATGGATTCTCTCTTAGGTCAGAAGAAGTGATGATGCACCTTTGGGATGATGTGTCTGTGAGATCGTCCTTATTTCCAGGTAATGCTTGCTGAAGCATCTCTGCATGAAGTGTCATGGCGTCTGCATCTTACTTCCAAATAATTCAGTTAAGTAAAAGGTGGGGAGGAAGGAGGAGAAGGGAAGCAGACAAGGGAAATATCACACAATAAAAAGCAGCAGCAGAGAAGGGAAATGTCACAAATGTGTAAAATATTCTAGGTGAAGGAAGAGTATATAGGTGATTATATTCTCTTTCCATTTTTTCCTGTATAAACTATTTTTTTCCTCATCCAGTTGGTATTCAGAGGTGGAATGCCAGAGTGTAAGGCACTGTGGTGCTGGGTGGCATACATTGGTGTCCACGGTCCCTCGCTCCCATATAAACTTTTAAGTAAAAATCTGGTAGAACTCTTAGAAGGTGAAGATAATGATCCTTCAGATCTGTGGAATTGGCATCTCTAAGGGCAGGGCTTGGAAACAGATTTTCTAAAAGTGCTTAAATAAAAAATCCAAATCTCCTGCTGTCAAGGCAATCCTGAGTCATGGTGACCCTTCATTTTGTGTCCAAGGCCATAACTCTTTATGGAAGGAGACCACCCATCTTCCTCCCATCCAGCAGCTGGTGGGTTTGAACCACCAACCTTTCTATTAGCAGCACAACACCTAATACATCAGGCAACCTGAGGTCCTTGAGTTACCACTCAGGTCCTATTAATTCTAGTTATATCTCCCAAAATTTCTCAACTCAGTCCCCTTCCTTGTGGTATCTCCCCTGTTCCGACCATGTCCCAGGCTGGCATCTCTTATTTAGGCTCCCAGATTTTCCCCATTCCCAGTCACCCTCCAAACCACTTGAGTTCCCTTTTCACCACTCATCACACCACTCAGCTCCGAAGAGTAACTACTGCCTGAAAGATAAAATCCAGAGTTCTTAACATGTGACAGAAGACGCTCCATAAGACCCTGACCAGCCTTACTTCCTGGCCCAGCTTCATGTTTATTAACATATTTACCAACAAGACTTTGCACATACTGTTCCCTTGTTCCTCTCTGTCTGGAAAATTACTCTTCAGCGTTGTTATCACATGCTCATACTCCTTTAATGTTTCCATCTCCCCATCTCCCTCCAGGTGTGGGCTGAAAGCTTCAGCTTAATTGGGACTATGTCCCAGGTCAGTGTAGACAACTGGGCTGAGAGATGTACTAACCCCAGCAGAATCCAGGGCAGGGGTGCTCTATTAACTCGCTTCCTTTGAGGGATCTAGAAAAATTCATGGGGCCCCTGGGGGTGTGTTTACATATGTACTTAATTTAACTGCTGACATGTATATCTGTAACAACAAATGAGGTGAGATGGTAGCAAAGAGTAGAAACTGGAAACTATGCCTCCCAGTTTGGGGGCCTAATTAGTGGATCACTCTTGGGTTTTGAAGCATTTTGTCCCTCCCTCCTCTACTGAACTTGTCTTTTGGACTTCTTCATAGCCCATGCAAGAGATAGGCTTTGGAGAATATTTCTTTGAATGGAATAATTATTTTTTTTATTTTACTATTTTTTTTGTACATGTACCGTCAAATTGGATCCAACTGGCACAGGAGGAGATTGCCCCTCCTTCTCCAGCAGAGCATCTGGTGGATTCAAACCTTGAATGGAATAATTCTTAACCTGTGTTCCATTCTCATTGTGGACTGGACCACCGTCTCTGCTCAGAAGTGGCCTGTGGTATTGGTAAAAGTTCATGACTGGACAATGAAAGAACTTTTTTCCCCAAAGAAAAAGTGTGATCTCGGGGGGAGGACAGGCAGGGAGGGAAATGTGCAACAATGAACAATTGGAAACCCAAGTTCTTTATAAACTTTCATTAAAATCTCAGTTAAAAAAATTCATGATTGGAATGTTGGAAGAACTGGGAAGGAGCTGAGACAGTACAGTCACAAGATTTCCCGTGGCCTTCAGAATTAGACACCAATTCTTGTTACTAAGGAGAAACTTCACTGATCTCATTCTATTTTGAGAATCATTGATTTGCTCCTGAATTGACAGGAAAATGTGTCTTATCCATCTACTTGGTGAGGCCACCATTTTTCTTTATGTTCATTTGTCATCTTCCTTCAAATGTGCCTATAAAATCCCCAAATCCATACCTTTTTAAATGAAAAATAATAACTTTTGGCGCCTTGGAAATTCTGGCTTTCGAAGTGGATTCTTGCTTGGTTTCACAAAAGGAGCAATGAATTTGGTTTTTCCAGCTCAGCGTATCTTGTTGAAAAAAGCACTGCAGGCAGTCCTAATGAGAGGGAAAAATACTGGGTGACCAGTCAGCTGGAACCTACTTGTTGTCCATATTGGAATTTAGAAGTAACCAGAGAAACAGAACACTTGAAACTCTTCAAAGTCAAATCCAGGAGCTGCTCTAGTCACAGCCTGCAGCTTCGACAGCTGGAAAACCTGTCTAGTGAAGGACAGCTTCCTTTCTCACCAGGACACAGAAATGGATCCAAGTCATTTACAATCTCTGAACAGGCTTTTTAAAGCTTCTGGTTGACATCACAATATTATTGCTTTTGCAATCTCTACATAATCAGCAGCTGTTTTGTGTTGTTCATGCCATTACAAATGAGATCTGGTGACTGAAAATGGTCACAGCTCAGCCTTTTGGAGTGGCCCATAATAAAGACAGTAGATGAGACATCACCTATATCCCAGGTCCACTGGAGACACCCACAAATCCTAACCTCTGTGCCTGTGGTTCTAATCCCCTGTAGGAATAGATAATCTTTGTAATGGTATCGAGACAGATTTAGTGTAAGGTGTATCTGGAGTCAGTCTCTTTTAGGCTATAAAATCAATGCAAGTTAGCAAGCCCAGAAGGCCAAACCACATAAAGGTCACCTGGGAGCAGACTCTCAAATGGGTTAGGACTTTCCTCCAGAGCCAGCAGAGGAAGAGAGCTTATCCTTACAGCAAGTGTGCTGAATTCGGAGTTCCAGCCTCCCGATAACACTGTTAAAGCCACTGATCTGGGGCATTTCAGCAATAGCAGCACAAGACTAGCTAACAAAGACACATCCACTCTAAGTTCAGGTGCTAGCCTCTGTTAACCATTAGCTCCAAGACAAACATGGGCAAAGAGAATGGCAGCACCTCCCTTTAAGGGATTTTTGGAATTTCTTCTAGGTAATATTGAGCAGTTTGGGCTGAGAACAAAGCTCAGCCCTGAAAAAGTGAGATTCTCCAATTACGGTGTCCAGAAACAACTATGTGGATGTTAAAATGTGAGAAGCATAGAAATTAGGAGGAAGATAAATTTGTATTTTTCTACAACGAATGTTTCTTTCTGTCTCTCAGCTGTTCCTTGTCTCTCAGTGTCATCCTCCACCCCCTTTCAGATTGTTGCTATGATGTCTATCAAGTCAGAACCGACTCGGAGCGGACCCTCCAGCATGTTTTCTGTGACTAAATTATAAAGGAAGAGACAGATTGTTCATCTTCCTCCTGCAAAGCAGTCTCTTGAGTTGGGAGCACAACTCCTTACCTCTAGGCCACCAGAGCTCCTTGGCAGATCAACTTGGCATGTATTATGGTGAAGAAGAATGGAGGAGAGGAGCACCAATGCACTATATCTACTCTCCTTTCTCCAACACATTTCACAGCTTTAATTGAAAATAGAAGCGGCTCAAGACTAAAAGCCATCTCAAAAACTTCTATCTGCAGTTCTAATTTTGTTAAAAAGAGGTTGTTGTGTTTAACTACAATTAAAAAGTCACTTTTGATCAGTGCATTATTTTCAGTCAAATGCTACATCATGGACTTCCATTCCCCCGCCCCCTCCAGAGTCATAGAAAAGTCCCCTCGTGCCAACAAACGGAGATAACAACCCTGAGAAGATTCTGGGCTGGGGCTAGAGTAAGACAGAAGTATCTAGGAGTGTGGAGCCCTACCTGAAGAGAGCACTCACACTGCGATGGGACGGGGAGGGACAGGACAGTGAAGACTTCATTCTTGTACGTGCAGTTCTCACACTTTAAACAGACGATTCCATAACTGAGCTGACCCTCGAACAGCCGGGTGATGATGGAGGACTCAGTAGTTGCCACCTTCCTGCAACATCTTTGAGGAGACCCTTTCTCACGGGATCTTCTTTGGTAAAACTGAATCAAGGACAGATTCCCCAGTCCCCGAAGCCCCAAATGAATTATTCTTTGTTGTGGTTTTTGTTTGCTGTTTTAGTTTTGTTTTTTGTTGTTTTGTCCACCCCCCCCCATTTTAACAGAGTGTTTTGTGGAATTTTTTTTTCTCTACCAGAATGATACTCTGTAATCAGGAACTATTTCATTTTGGATTCACACAATGACGTCTTCTGAGGGGGCTGTGCTTTGTGTAGTTCCTAGTCACTCAGCTCTGGCCCTCTTTCAAGGGAGCTGTAGACTGAGGCACCCCAACTCTGACAACCTCTGGGCCCCCAGCCAGGGCTGAGTGATTCAGCACCTGGAGCCTGTTTTTCCTTGGAGGAGGGAAAGCGGTCTAACAACAGACTGATAAGGAAGTAAATGCATTCTTTTTCCCTGGTCCCTACAGCTTATGTTCTCTTATATTGTTAGGAAACAGATTTTTATTAAGAACCATCTTATGTTCTCATGCAATCCAATTTCACTAGCCTTGTGTTCTGTTTGGATATGGCTCATGTGGTGTTTCAGGGAACACCCCTGAATATTTGTGATTTTCAGGGCCTCAGTAGAAAATGCATTTTAAACTATTGTTTGGAACTGAATGTACTTTTCCACATTTACTTGCTTCTCGTATCACTCTGTTGCCAAGATCTTTACCTAGAGAGTAATGTGATGCCCCTTTTCCAAGTTTGGCCCAAGATAAAAAGAGTGCTGTTTGTCAGATGGGCTGCCCATGAGGGTTTAAATGACTTTTACTGATTACTACTAGCTCAAGAAGAAGAAAACACTAATACTAATAACATGACTATATTAACTAATACTAAGAATAGAATAGAATAACAGAATACTAATAACATGAATATCTATCTTCTTGTTATTGTTTTGTGCCATCAAGTCACCTGTGACCCATAACAACTCTATGTACAGCAGCACTGAACCTGCCCTCTCCTGAGCCGTTTTCACTGACTCCAACACACCAATCCCCATTACCAGTTACCGTATCAATCCATCTCTTCTAGGGTCTTCCTCTCCTGCGCTGTCCTCCATATTTCTGTGCATGATGTCCTACTTTAAGAACTGGTCTCTCCTGGCCATTTTCCCATAGTTTGTGAGATAGGGAGCTTTAAACTCTTAGACTTCAAGGAAAAACTTGGTTTCACCCTCTCCAAGGCAGACCTATTTGTTTTTTTGGCAGTCATGGTATGTTCAAGACTCTTTCTGGTACTACAACTTGAAGATATCACTTCTTCTACTATCATTCTTAGTCATTTTCCAGCTCTCTGAAGCATAGCAAGTAATTATGAAGACCATGACCTGGATCAGGTGCACCTTAGTCCCTAGACTGATATCATTACTCTTTAGCACTTTGGAGAGGTCTCTGACAGCAGACTTCCCCAATGCAATTCTACTTTTTATTTCCTGACTGCTAGTGGTGAGTGTTGAGTGTGGAGCCAAGCAAGCTGTAATTGTTAACAGCCTATATCACTTCTCCATCTATCATGGTGCTGCCAAGTGGTCAAGTGGTGAGAATCTTTGTCTTCTTGATGTTGAGCTGCAATCCATATTGAAAACTACAGTCCTTGACCTTCTGCAGCAAGTGCTTCAGGTCTTCTTCAGTTTTAGCGAGCAAGGTTGTATGATCTGCATAACATACATTGTTCATAAGTCTTCAGTCCTGATGTCACATTCCTCCTCATAAAGCTCTGCTTCCTGAATGATCTGTTCTGCATACAGATTGAAAAGAGGTGGAGACAGGATGCATCCCTGACACACTCCTTTCCTGATTTTGACCCATGCAGTGTTCACTTGCTCTGTTCTGAGGACTGCTTCCTGGTCCAAGTATAGGTTTCATATAAGCACCATCAGTGTTCTGGGATTCCCATTTTCCTCAAGATTAGCCACAATTTGTTGTGATCCATGCAGTCAGATGCCTTTGCATAGTCAATGAAACACAGATATACATTCCTCTTGTACTCTTTGGTTTTTTACAAGATCCATCTGCCATTGGCAATAATAATTCTAGTGCCATGACCTCTTCTAAACCCAGACTGTATTTCTGGTCATACTCTGTAATTGTACTGTTCCAGTCGCATGAAATAATGACATGATATTGTCATATGATAATAAGTCATTTGATAATAATGAGTAGCTATCATTTGTGATGTTTGTGTAAGTATTTCCTGGATATTACATATGTTATTGTTGTTTTTAGGTTTCCATCGAGTTGACTAAGACCCATGGCAACTATGAAAAGTGGATGTGAACCTTGCTTTATCCTGATCCATTCTCATCATCTCTGATAAACGCAAGCCTATTGTTACAGTCACTGTGTTGATCCATCTTGTCCGGGTCTTCCTCTCTTTTGTTGACCCTCTGCTTTTTCAAGTATGATATCTTTTCCCAAAGACTGACATCTCCTAACAATGTGCTTAAAGTATATGAGACAAAGTATAACCATCCTTGCTTCAAAGGCGCACCTTGGCTGCACTTTCTCCAGGGCCTATTGTTCTTTTCACAGCATGGAATATTCAATACTCTTCTCTAACACCACAACTCTCAATTCTTCTGTCACTCATAGTAGTTATCCAACTTTCAGAAGCCTAGAAAGTAACTGAGAAGACCCTGGCTTGAATCAGGTGTACCTTCTTAGTCTTTAAACTGACATCATTGCTCCTTAGCAACTTGGAGATATCCTTGACAGTAGATTTTCCAGAAGCAACTTATCTTATGATTTCTTGATTGCTGGTACCAAGGGTTGTGGATCCAAGTAAGATGAAATAATTGACAATTTCAATCTTTTCTCCATCTATTATGGTGTTGTCTATTGGTCCAGTGGTAAGAATTTTTATCTCCTTAATGTTAAGATGTTCAACATCAAGAAAACAAAGATTTTTACCACTGGGCCAATTGGCAGCATTATGATAGACGGTGAAGAGTTTGAGATTGTTAGCAGCTTTAGTTTTTTTGGCTTCAGAATCAACACTCTTGGTACCAGCAGCCAGGAAATCAAAAGATGAATTGCACTGGGTAAGTCTGCTGTCAGGGACATCTCTAGAGTACTGAAGAACAATGATGTCTGTCTGGAGACTAAGGTGAGACTGTTCCAAGTCATAGTCTTCGCAATTACTCGCTATTCATCAGAGTGCTGGACAATGACGAGGGATGATGGAAGGAGAATTGATGCCTTTGAGCTGTGGTACTGGAGAAGAGTATTAAATATACTATGGACAGCTAGGAGAACAAACAGCTTCATCTTAGAGAGGGTGAGACCTGGTTGCTCCTTGGAAGTAAGGATTCTGAGGCTTCGTCTGACATGCTGTGGGCATGTTGCAAGGAGGAATCAATCCTTGGAGAGGGACATTATGCTTGGAAGAGTGGAGGGACAGAGAAAGAGAGGAAGACCCTTGATGAGATGGATTGACGCAGTGAGTGGGTAAGGAGGGTAGATGTGTCAGAGACAGTCAAGTTAGCACAGGATAGAGCAGGTTTCAGGGCTGTTGTACATAGGGTCACTAAGGGGCCCTACTTGAGCACATAACAACAATATAGTCTTTGAGCTTCTGCAGCAAGTGCTTTAAGGCTTCCTGACTTTCAGCAAGCAATGTTGTTCCATCTGCATAACACAAGTTGGTGATGAGTATTAGCCCAAGGACATTACAGAAAGTCAACCAAATGTGTGAATCTCAGATAAATGTTGAAAGCAGCAGGTGTGGTCAGTAAAGACAAATCTCTCAGGACTGAGAGTTTCATGTTTTATCAAGTTTATGTCTGAATCTATCAGAGTTCTGGTTAAGGATGTTTGGTATTGTATCTATCGAGCATAATAATAAAAGGTTAGCCAAAAAAAAAGAGATTGTTTTCCCTTTGCATTCGTCTTTGTCATATTCTAAGCCAAAGCCTTTCCCTTTTTTGTGGTTTAAAGTTAAAGGCTACCATCTCTCTTTTTTTTCCTCTCGTGTACCATCTAATCAGATCCAGCTGGCACAAGAGTAGATTGTCCCTCCTCTAGCAGAGCAACTGGTGTGTATGAACTTCATGCCTCTGGGATTGCAGCACAGCTTCTTGCTACTAGGCCACCAGAGCTCCCTAAAAGCCACCTTCTCTTTGAGGTTTGAGGAATAACAACAGTATTAATCTTCACGTGTTTGCCCAAATGGGTAATCACTGGAAATGTCAAGCGAGCCTTTTAAAAGACAGGAAGACTGCCAGGAGGGCCTTAGAGTCTGTGTTCTGAAAAATCTTCCCAGATGATCCTCACGATTAGCTGAGTTTGCTAAACCAATACAACAACAACATTCCCCAGAGCTCCAGCACCTGGCACAGTGCCCCCACGGAGAGCAGTCGGTATGGACTGAAGGAAGGAAAGGGGCTGACAAAGTTGAAGGCCTGTCCTCGCTCAAGACCAGAAACCCCACTTACCTTTTTCAGAGCTTCATGAAGTTCACTCAGGACATAAATCAGGAATTCCTGAGCATCCTGCTGGGTGTTTTTCATAAATGCTGGGTAGAGGTTTCCCAGAGCGGACCGGAATATTTCTGGCGAGACACAGTCTGAGTCTCCAAGCCACATGTCTGTCATCAGGTAGGCGAACGCAGTGGCCACCTCACCACCACTCCTTGGAAGAAGAGAGGACACTTTCTGGGCAGATTCAGTGAAATGAGAACCTAAAAACGTGAACTGGGGACCTCAAACTGGAAATGAAACTTTGTTTTCTTCTCAGCTGACCTTTCCTTTCCACCATTGTGTGGGTTTAGGGGTAAGATTGCCCAGAAATTAAGGTAAGCACAGGCTTGCTTATGATGAAATCAACACACTTTAGTATGTAAGCCTGTGCTCGCCCATCATCAACCGTAAATGTTGGAGAGAAGTTCTGGTTCTACGTGGAGGTGCTATGAGGTTGGAGAGAGAGGCCAGCCTTACTTTGGATTTCTCGTGTTGTGGGGGAGGTTTAAACGAGGGAGCACAGCCCTGATTTACTGGGTAATCTGACACTAGTTGCATGGCTGCAGGCTTCACTGACTTGTTTATCTCCTAAGAGGGAAACAAGATGGTTCCTTCCCTAACTTCCCTCAGAGGGGCAGGACATAAACTGAGGTAGTAAACAACACAAGCGGTCTTACTTTTGAAGAGCATTGATGTACCTTCCGGAGAGAAAGTACTCTACCAGCGGGGAGATGCTGCAGAGACTCTGGAGGATGGCGTTCATGTAGCACGTGTTGCCCAGGTTTCGCAGGCCCGTCACACCTTGCAGATGGGGCTGGCTCTCATCAATGTCTTTAAGGAGAGTGGGATCCTGATGATCTATACCCACCATGCTGTGTTGTTGCCACACAGAAGATCTGTGGAGAAAGATGGGCAATCTGCTCCTGTGGGATTCACAGCCTCTGAAAACCTGCTGGAAGGTGGCCTCTGAGTTCCGTCTCCACAGTGCCATTCACTGAGGGAGCCCTGTTGCTCCTGGTCTGGGGCCTGCCTGGGCCACGGTACCTGTACCTTTGCTTACCATTAGGTTTTTGTTTTGTTTTTTAGGGTTTGTTCTTCGGAGCACAACACTTATTTTTTCAGTTTCTTTAACTAGGGGAGTGAGTTAGTTGCATGTTACTGCTTTTTGTAGCTTAGCTATGTATATATGTGCTTGTTTATCAGCTACTTTTATGTGCAGTGCATGTCTGTCAGATGCTATACTAAAGCAGAGCTTCCAGATTAAAACACACGAGGAAGAACTGGCTATCCACTTCTGAAACAACAGGCCTTCAAAACCCCTATGAATGATAGAGAACACTGCTAGATATAACAGGGAGGTAGAACTCTTAGACTGGAAGACACTAAAAACAGTAAGTGGAACAGTTGCAAACACCCATTAATAATTGGAATATGGAATGTATGAAGTATGAATTTAGGAAAATTAGAAATTGTCAAAAATTAAATGGAATGTATGAAGATTGGCATTGACATTCTAGGCATCAGTGAAAAGGACTGGCATTGACTACCTTGAATCAGACAGTCATGATCTACTATGCCGAGGATGAAAAACTGAGAAGGAATGGTGTTGCATTCATAGTAAAAAAGACCATTTCAAGATCATCCTGAAGTACAATGTTGTGAGTATTAGGGTACTAGCTATAAGCATACAAGGCAGACCTGTGAATACGACTGTTCTTCAAATATGTGTATCAACCTGTAAAGCCAAAGCTCAGGAAATTGAGGATTTCTACCTACTTTGCCAACTGAAATCAACTGAACATGCAACCAAGATTCATTAATAATAATTGGTGACTGGAATGCAAAAGTTGGAAATAAAGAATTACTAGTAGTTGGAAATTACAGAGCTGGTGACATCAATGACACTAAAGGCTGAATGATTTAATTTTGTACAATCAATTATTTACACCTTGCAAATACTATCTGCAAAAATGATGTACAGTGACTGCATGCATGGACCTGATGGGCTGATCAGGAATCAGATTGATTCATCTATGGAATTTGAGAAGCATAATACCAGGCAGAACAAGCCAGGCCAGGTGCTGAATGTGGAACAGACTGTCAATCACTTACGTGCAAGCTCAAATTAAGGCTGAAGAAAATGAGAACAAATCCAAAATACGACCTTGAGTCTGTCCCATCTGAATTTAATAACCATCTGAAGAACAGGTTTGAAGCATTGAACACTGATAATAGAAGCCCAGATGAGCTGTGGGATACAGAGGAGAAAGACCAAAATGGAAGTCAGAAGACATTCTGTTTGTTTGGTTGTGTATTTTTTTTTTTAATTTTTTAAATTATTTATTTTTTTGTGTGTACCGTCAAATGAGATCTGACTGGTACAGGAGGAGATTGCCCCGCCTTCTCCAGCAGAGCATCTGGTGGATTCGAGACATTCTGAATATTGCATGAGAAGGCTGAGTAGCCACAACAAAGGGAAGATGACAAAGGAGAAGAGTGGAACCAGAGATTTCAAGGGGAAGCTTGAGAAGATAAAGCACAAGTATATTTATTTTATTATTTTGTGTGTGTGTACCATCAAATCGGATCTGACTGGTACAGGAGGAGATTGTTCCTCCTTCTCCAGCAGAGCATCTGGTGGAGTCAAACCACATACCTCTGGGATTACAGTGCAGCTTCTTGCCACTAGGTTACCAAAGCTCCATAAAACACAAATATTATAAAGTAATAGGGAAGGACTCACTCAACATTTCTCAAGCTGAAAGATCTGAAGAGTAAATTCAAGTTTTATTCTAATACTAAAAGGTATCACCTTGGACAAAGTCTTGAATGATCAGAAACTATCAAAAATAAATGGAAGGAATATATAGGCACTGTACCAAAAAATGAATTGGCTTACATGAAACAATTTCAGGAAGTGGCATATGATCAAGAACCAAAGGTATTAAAAGAAGATGTTCAATCTGAAGGCATTGGTTAAAAATAAAGCTCCCCCCCAAAAAAAAAGCCCAAGAATTGATAGAATATCAATTGACATATTCCAAGACACAGATACAACCCTGGATGTGTTCAGCAGGTTTTGCCAAGAAACCAGGAAGACAGTTACCTGACCAATCGACTGGAAGAGATCCATATTTATCCACATGCCCATAAAAATTGATGCAATATAATGTGAAAATTATTGAACAATGTCATTAATAACATATTCAAGCATTTGTGTGTGTGTGTGTAGCAAATATGTTTTATTTAAAATGAGACTTTGGTGAAAGTGAACTGAAGCTCAATTGGTGTCAGCAAGCAAATCTTTTTTAAGATTATTCAAATATTACTAGAACAGTATATCATCAGAGAACTGCCAGAAATTAAAGCTGGATTCAGAAGAGTCTGTTGCACCAAGGATAACAATACTGATGTCAGATGGATATTGGCTGAATGCAGAATATAGCAAAAGGATGTCTATCTGTGTTTTATTGACTATGCAAAGGCATTATTTGAGAAGAATGAGAATCCCACCTTATTGTACTCATGTGAAACCTGTATGCAGCTAGCGCAAGAGTTTATTATTGTCTGTACAGAACAAGAACATTGCATAGCGTGAAATCAGGAAATGTGTGAGTCAGGGCTGTATCCTTTCTCCACACCTATGAAATCTGTACACTGGACTTTATGAAGAAGAATGTGGCATCAGGACCAGAGGGAAATTCATCCACAATCTGCATTATGCAGAAGACACAACTTTGCTTGCCCAAACAAGGACAAATTGAAATGCTTGTTGCAGAAGATAAAATACGACAATAAATGACATAGTTGAGCCTCTACATCTTGTGGTTCCTAATCTTTATACTATAATAGACAAAGTGCTAGTCAATAAGCCTTGTATTTTAAGTTCCCTCTGTAACTTGATTTGTGCCACTCTTAGAACCTCTACTTGGAATATTATTGCTTTTAATTTTTGACTCATGTACTTTTAACTTGTTAGTTAAATTTGTATCTTCAAGGCTACAACAGTTCCTTGATGCATCTTCAAGGATATGAACATATATGGCTAAGCAAAACTGATAATAGTGCATCTAAATTCCAAAATCAATCTCCACAATAGTCTACGTGTTTCCTATTGCCAAAGGGGCCTTTTAGAGTAGTGAGAGAAGATCTTCACCCTGAAACCTACAGCATCCCTTTTC